GAAACAGACACAAAAGAGTTGGCAGTTAAAGAAAAGATTCTACAACTGAAACATCAATATGGGGTTGAGTTCAAGAATTTAGAAATTTAATACCGTTTGGTTAATTTTATATTATTGTAAATTAGTTATTAAAATAAAAATTGGTTATCTTATTATTGTAGAAGTATCACATAAACGACATCATATACTGGTGCCCAAGCAATATTTAAGAGGAAATAATAATTTACAAACCTTGCTGTGTCCTCTGGAAAAGTTAAGGAATGATTATTTCATCTAATATTTCCACAACACAAATTCCGTTTTGCCGTCTTAAAATCAAACACTTTACTCAAGAATAATAATAAACACAAAAAACTGAACAATGAAACTGAAATATATGTACATACTTTGTTTTTCAAATACCGTAAAATGAAAGGATTATGTATCTACTTGCTGATATGGTCTTATTTTCATGACTTCCTTGAAATGACAATATATCGCTTGAGAATATTATAAACAAATGAAATACTAATAGATCCCATAACATGTTGCCTATTTTTCACAAAGTTATCTGTTAAAAGTGGGTATAAACACTTTCTTATAAGTATGTATTTATTGTAGAAAAATTCTGTAATAAAAATACATGTTCATTATAGTATCATAAATATCATATTCATTAGGTTACTGGTGTTATATTTAGTTTGTTTCGTAGATTTATTACCAGAGTTTAATAAGAAAAAGTTGACACAATTAAGTTAATTTTATTTCTGTGACTATTTGAATTGTCAACACTTTTTTTGTTAAATTAAAAATACATATACAATAATTAAAACACTCATAATTCTTATATTATGTTTTATTGAACCGTAAATAATTTTAAAATAAACATTTTATTTAATTAATAAATGCAGTACGAATGACAGCATTTCTTACAGCAAAATTATCTTGATTTCTAGTGACATTGTTTAAATTTTTATCTTCTGACTCGGCGTGATTACTGCCATCTTCACTATCAGTCAGCACATCATTCCTCCTTCTACATATATTATGCAATACACAAATTGCCACTATAATTGGAATAGCTCTATTTACACTGACTAGACACTCTTTACATTTTGGAATGAGGTGATATAGTCTTTCAACTGTATGTATGTGCTTCATTGTCACTTTATATTCACAAACATAACACACTGTTCTCTGTTCAACAAGTATTCATGTGTTGTAGAGGTGTGTCCTAATCTGAGACTTCTTATTGGGATTTGATGTTGTCGCTTTGAAGGCCTGAAGTATCATGGAAGGACGGAAGATTTTATTTCTATCAATTTAGTGGTGCTTCTATTCCATTGGTCCCGTAGACAAACAAGGAAACCTTCTCTTTAAGACACCAAACATTCTTTCAATTGTATTCTGTGTGCGGATATGTGTATAATTGTATTTCCTTTCAGCTGGCATTTGTGGATCATGTAAGGGAGTTAAAATATATTTTCGGCATGGATAACCACTATCACCCAGTAAATATGTTTCACAAAACTCATTGTTTTCAAACTGAGCTCTTATCAGAGAATTATCAAATACATGACTATTGTGGGAGTAACCAGGCCATCTAGCAACTACATTGATTACATTTAAATTTGCATCACAATCCATCTGTATATTTATTGAAAAATACCAGTCACTATCAACACTAGATACAGTTGGAGAATTAACATCTGACACTGATGATACTGAAGACATTTCAAAATATTATTAAATCTAAATATTTTCACACCAGCCGAAAAGACAATTGAAACTGTCATATTTACTTGGTAGAAAACTAAGGAATAGTTTAGTTTGCAGATTTACTTCCAGAATTAATTTACTATCTGTTTAAAATACGCAAATCTGCAGAGTAAATTATTTTACTTTCAAACTAAATTTTACTTGGCAAGTAAAATGTTTTATAATACCGCAATACCGGGCATAAAAGTGGTATAAACAAACCAGACAGCTGTTGATTTGAATATAATTATTAATTATTTTTAGTAAATTTCAGCATTATGACTACGTTAAAGTATTTTAAATCCAATCTAAAATAAACTGAAAAACTTAAAGAAAAAATAATTTATTATGCAATTTTTTAAAGACAAATCATGTGCTATATTTTCTGACAGGTGATCTCAAGTTAAGGTTGATTTCATGTAATCAAATGAACTATTTTACAGTAAAGCCAAGTTAAAGTTATTTATTTATGTTAATATACAATAAAGTACTTACATATGTCAAAAAATAGTATAAAATAAAAATTAACATATTAAAAACATAAGATATAATAATGCATATATACGTTAAGGCAAACATTACACAGAATATTATATTTTGGGTTCCCAGGTATACACAAAATAGGATTCATCATCAATACACAAGCCAGTTCGAAACATTAAAGTTAAAATTTAGGAATTCATCACTTGAAAACTGCTTCCCCTTCAACCAATGGACTCTTTGCTTCACCACAATACTCAAAGATATCATTAAGGTTAATTTCCATTATTAAATGATACAAATAACTCGTCTTAAACCAAACTAAACATGGAAAAGCAATGGTAAATATTCGAATGTTATGTTTGTTTTTGTTTATACCATTTATATCGGCCATGACACTGCAATCGACCTGCCCGCCCTCTACATTCAGTTTCAATCGCGAATAAATTGGTTTTGTATTCTTGTGTACTCCTGTGACGTAACTCAAGCATCCCCACCCCAGTCGGAAGAGGCAACCGTAGTAAGTCTACGAACCGTGACCTACACCCTAAATATTTTGTGTCGGTTCGCTATTCCCAGTCCGAACTGTCTAGTGATTTTACTAATTATTTTTTTGCGAAGTTAGTTACTTTTTGACAGACTCGAAGTGGCTGGAAATTACTATACAACCAAGCATACGTGCTCTTAGTCAATATTAATGTAAACAAAAGTAAATAAAATAGAACTTTGCCGACAATCAATATTTATTTATTTACACCGTATAATGTATTGATAGCAAATAATAAATTTATTTATTGTACAAAATAAAAAAAGTGGGAATAAATTCTACAAAATTAAAAAGTCAAAGTGAGGTTAAATAAGACATAGCAAGTTCCTTATGTTAGGATGGAATCAATGATTAAAGATTAACAGTTAATTGGATAGCATTAACATAAACTGTTGTTTTATTATCTTACAAAATAAGTGTACTTCCATATGCTAAAAGCAAATATTAGTAATTTGACTAGGCAAATTCGTGGTTCAATAGTAATTTTTGCTCATTAGCATTTGAGGATGTTAAAATCTTCCACATATGGTGAATGAATTCAGTGTCCTGGCCGCAGTCTGCAGTCATATAAACCCAAACAAACAACAAAAACCTCCATGTAAGTATAAACAAGTTTATATTGAATTAGAAACAACTAATCTAAAAATATTATCTTTTAAAAAACATTTTATCATATTTATTAAGAAAAACTTACCAATGCATTAGCTGATGGAACAAATGGAAAACTTTGACTATCCATAATAATAAAATTTAAAATATAACTAACTAATTAACTGAATAGAACTAACAAAAGAATTAAACAAAGATAATAAAACAATAAAACTATATTAAATTAAATAAACAACGCGAATAATACTAATATTTACTACAATATTTTAAATTGTAACAATTCAAATATTATATTTATACAGGGAAAATTTGATGGGTTTAGTATACACCTCTACTATTTAGAATAATTCTTCCTTTTTTCAAAGAAAGAAGTCTGCAATAGTAGTATACTTGAGCTATTAATACTGAGAAGTAGGAATTGTTGTGTTGTAGGTTTCCGACAATGAGTCTGTCAAAATATGCCCTAGCTAAGCGAATAGACAATATCATGTGACGTCACAGGTTATGACGCCGATGACGTGCATCGTTATATAAATTAGATGAAGTGTATGTACGCCTTAAGATTTTCCAATTTTAGAGCTTGATTATTTACTAAATTATTTGCTTCCAATAAAGACTTTAATAAAACCTTGATGCGATTTCTACCTATGCTTTAATTTCTAAAATATTTGTAAGTCGTAATTTTTTTAATAATATGTGACCAACAGTCATCGGATGTAATCTACCTAAATTTTCAACATTTACTTTTTCAATATAGACCCAAATATTTTTAATATTATACTTATCTGAGCGTAAATTGAAAGTTTTCTTTTCCGGTTCCATGATAGCTACTACATTGTTGACATTTTTACTGGTCATGCTTTGATTATCAGTTTTGTTTAAATGGTCCTCACTATTATCTACTAACATTTGCGTCAACGAAGACGTCCCTGCACTATTATAGTGTCCCCCATCGGGGAAACAAATTTAAAGTTTACAACCGTAAAACACTAATATTGTTTAACTATACGGTCAAAACTAAAATACTAATTATACATAAAAAGTGAATCACAATACTAATTAAAAATCCGGCTCGTTTATTATGTTTTTTGCACTTAATTTTTAAATCGATACTGTTTAAAATTATTAAAAACTATAATTTTTATCGGAGAACTTTTAAAGTCAAATTTTCACTTTGACAGTTATTTGACGTATATGAACAGTTGTATTTTTATAAGTCTATAAATGTTGAAGTTTATAGTTGTCAGATAGTTAAAAATTATTGTAATATTGTTGGTTTTGAATAAAGTTAATAATCAAGAAGTGTAACTGTAATATAACTGTAAATGTTTATATTTAGTAATACCAATATAATAAGTGAAAATTAAAAAATGTCTGTAATTATTTACCTTATTCAAACTTAGTGCAAAAGGCAAAATAACTTGGGTTATAGGTTGCAAGTGGGCATCGTTACTTTCTAAAAACATCAAATATAATAATTATTATAATGTTTCGGGGTATTTTTAAAGAATTATTTAATGAAAATGGTGTGGAGAAAAACAAAAAAAAGGGGAAATTTAAAGGTTACAATAATTGGCCTTTACACAGATGATATATTGAGTATAAAAGTGTATTTGTAAATACTTACTTTCCTTGGAATACTAAAATTCCTTGAACCAATCCTTCTAAACAAAGTAGATCATAACGATTAGCTGGTATATCTATCCTATATATTACATCTTCAGAAGCATTAACTGTCACCTGACGATCATATCCTTGTTCTTTTGTTATCATCTGCTTTTCGGTGGTCTATAAAAATACTGGATTTTAAAAATAATTTTAATAATTTTTATGTAGTTATTACATCGCAACGTAATAATTTAATTCTGCGAGCTTAGCTCAGCTATGGATTGAATATTTGTCTTCCTTTTTTTTTATATTTCCAGTCATATTCTCTCCAGTTCCAAATAACTAATGCGATTTATACATAAATTTAGATATTATTATTATACAGAATTAAAATATTGTTTTGGGGTTTAAGTGATATTCAAATAAGAGTGATTAAAGAAAAAAAAAGAAAAAGCTACAAAAAACGACTAAAGGCTTAAAAAGGTTAGATATTTAATCAACAATTACTTAAATTTACATACTCCTTAACCCACCGTTACACCCACAAATTTAATCAACAATTACTTAAATTTACATACTCCTTAACCCACCATTACACGCGCTATGAGCGAATCCCTCACCATATTTATTTATAAGAAATGACATTGTGATTGTCTTAGCTAAGATGATAACCTCGACTATCAAGGAATGCGTTTAGCATCGTTCATAAGATAAGACGACAATGTTTCCGAATATTTCAGGCGGTCAGTATGCTGTGATGATGTGAGGGTAGAGGTAATGGATTTTGACAAGAGCTATGAGTCATGCCGATGCAGTACACAAGCTTACCTGTTATCGTTGATTGAATAACCCAATTTGGGTTATTCAATCAACGCTGTTATTTACAAGGTCATAGCTCTTGTCAAAATCCATTACCTATACTCCTCTCTGTTTATGTTTTTGTTTGTGTCCAACGTTTATGTTTTTGTTTATTATTTGGGTAAGTTTAAGGTATATCATTAAAACATTATTATTATTATGTTAGGAGGCCTTTGCCATTTTTAATTTTTATCTTTTAGTAAAATGGATCCGCGTCAAGAACCAAGGGACCATTTAGGAATTCGAAATGAAGCAAAGCCTCTAGAAATAAAATATAAATCAAATAAATGTGCCCCTTATCATATGAGGAAAAACCGAAAAACTCAGACAAAGTACTGAAAGCCAAATTGTAGAAACCTGATTTTTAAGGAACACACAAAAAAAATTGTGGAATTCCTGTTATGCAGGCCATTCACGTTCCGACTTGTGGTACGACTAGTGGTCCAACTTCTGCAGTTGGATCTGAAATCGGACCGTGAGTGGGCTAGTTGGATTAGTTGGACAACTAGTGGTACGACTAGTGGGACGACTTGAAGATCCGACTTCCGACTGGCGACAAAGTCGGAGCGTGAATGGTGAAGTTGGAAGTCGGATCACAGGTTGGATCGAAAATTTCCTCAGTCAGTTGACTTTCGGCACCTGTTACGTATGAGATTTCTATGAAATACTTTACGCAAAGATCTCTAGTTCGCAAATATTTATTAGAAAATAAACTTTCAATTGCACGAAAATTACCTTTTTGTTAGGGCAAATCATTTTCCTTTCTGTAGATCTATTTCGGACATTCCTATACAGGTAAATTTCCGATACTCCGGATTGGCTACAGAAGAATTATCAACATACAATAAAAATTAAATCATACTTGTAGCATAAGATCCTTAGTTCGCAAAAAAATAATAGAAAATAACTTTCAATTGCACAAACAATAATTATTCCTATTAAAAATATGCGACACACACACAACAAAATAAATTCCAGCTCCAGTTTAAAACAAATAAAATATAGATTTTATATATATTTATACCTACATCTTAAAAAGTCATAAAAATCAAGAGTTGAAAAAATTAATTAGTTCAGCCCTAGACAAATACCTAGAGAAACTAAACCTAATTTTTAAATTATCATAACATACAATAAAGATAACAAGCAGAGTGCTGTCATTTTTCTCCTCCTAATTATATTTTGCGTAGTGTTTATTCGATACATCCTAACTGAAGTTGGACCGCTAGTTGGATAGAAAGTCGGAGCGTGAGTGGAGACGAACATCCAACTAGTGGTCCTACTTAGTGGTACCACAAGTCGGAACGTGAATGGCCTGCATTAGGAAATAGATGAGGAAGAATCTGTTTAGATGCATTTATTATCTTTATATACATACATCACCTTTAAAACTTTTCATTTGTGTATTCATTAACTTCGTTGTTTATTATTTAATTATATTTGATTTATTTATTAGTTATTTCTAAACTTTTGATTTACAATATTTTATCACTTTGTTTTGTTAAATTAATAAAAATATTTTGGTTATAAGACTTTCTGTTATAAATGTAAGTATAAACCATTGTAATTTTATACATGCTGACATTCGTTCTTCCTCGAAATAAGTGGAATTGATGTAATTGCGGGTGACGCTCATATGCATGCGACTAGAGAATGGGAATGTACAATAAAAGATCAGTTTACATTTTTTACTTCCATGAAAAAAAAACTTAAATATGTGAGGACGTAAAATGCAAACAAGCTTAAGTCACAAATAAGTAATTTTTCGGGAAGGGCGAAAAACTTGTAGTTTTGTTCTGAAAAACGATAATAAGTTCTAATCAATGTTATGCAACAGTATTGGTTCCAAACATGATATTAAAACGCTTATTGCAGTTAAGATAGCTAAAAAATAGTTTAAAAAATTGATTTTGTTTTGGCAAAAGACCTTTTGCATGAACTCAGTGGAAATAAGTCGTTTTGCATGTAAAATGTTGTAGACATAAGATTATTTGCATGTAAATAAAGTAAAAAGACAATAAAGTAAAGAACCAATGGTTTTCTGAATGAATTTCTATTTTTGTAAAATAATAATATAGCCCTTGCCTAAGTGCCAAACATTGTCATAATAGGTAGTTAATGCAACAAACAAAACAGTTTTTAAATAGGGAAGTCACAGCACTCATCGTCGAGACAGTCATCTCCTGCTCCTCAGAAGAGCTGAAATTAAAAATCCAACTCTTGTACCAACCAATGCGTGGGTCAAAAAATTTTTGTGAACATTTTCTTTTGTTAACACATGAGGAAGTGGGTCTTCTTCCAGTCTCAGTTGTCAAGATTCTTTTTCCCTTTTGTTTCTAAAGATATAAAAGACTCTTTTCCTTCATACTTTTTTTCAAGCCTCTTACCAACACAATATTTTTGTAAGACCTTTTTACCTTTTTTCAGAGGTATTCAATTTCTTGTGTCTGGTAGCATATTTCAATTCTCTTCAGTTCACTAACTGATTGGATGTCCTTATAGTATTCACTTAGAATGTGGCCAATCTTCTAGTGCTCTTACCTTGCCTTTACCAGTGTAGATATCATGGTATTCCTGGTAAATTAAAATTATGGGTTTTTTCGCAACTGCTTTTTTGCTCTTCCAAAAACACGGTCGGCGGGTAAAAAACTATGTCCGCGTACAACGAAATACAATAAAATCCTTTGAATTAATGTTTTGTTTATTTCCAAAAAATGAATCAGTGTTCTTAGGACAATATTATTTTTATTTTCAAGAACACAAGCATAGCTAAACAACCTTAATACAGAACAGCCCTAAAAATCAGCTTCTTTCAAATAGTTAAAGAGAGTCGATGATAGTTGAAGTGTCTTCTTCTTCTTTGGGTGCCGTGTCCGTATTCAGACGTTGGCCGTCATCATGTTTACAATTTCCTGAAACCTTTTTGTGTCGGCTGCTGCGCGAAATAATTTTTCTACTGTGAAACCACACCATTGTCTAATATTACGCAGCCATGAAAGTTTCTTTCTTCGAAAGTTGAAGTGTAGAGCATGTGATTTTGAGTTTTTAGATCAGTAATACAAAATGTATAAAACCGAAGTTGTTTCGCGTAATAAGCTTCTTGAATTGGACTTTTCGGTTGTGGCAGAGTTTGTTGAAGATCAAAGCAAAGGTTAATATAATGAGAAACATACATTTCCATGTACTCATAAAACGCCATTGCTCTTTTTGAATAAATCCGCTTCAACCATTAGCTGCGCCTTTTCAGCAGACTGTGCTGGTGCACTTTTAATAGTTCTTTTAAAAAGCAGCACATACTGTAAGTATCGGAGGCAGGTGGCTTAAAATCTATGTTAATATTTTACTTAGTTTACTAATACGTAACTCACTACTCAGATATATATTTTGAAATCCTATCTTCTGTAATGTGATTCAGTTCCTCTGAGCTTTCTCAACACTTTTCTTCTTCAGATAGTTCTTATTTTTGGTAAAGTCGCCCCCTCTTTTCCCTTCAACAACAAACTCAAAATACACTTATTTGGCTATGTTTTTATTGTACTTTCGTCAATACCAATAACAGTGCGAAAAAGCTTTAAATATACAAACATTTTAGCAAAAGACAGTTGGAAAAAGTATTGTATTGTGTTTAGTACTTAAACTTGAGAAGTCGCTGGTTTAAATTATATTGAATAAATAATTATAACGAAAAAATGTGATATTGTTGATACATAGAATTGGTGAAAATAGACTCACCTCTGATTCGATTGATGAATTCGTACCAAGCTGTAGAGTTGGTCCGTGGTACCGACGCCCGGGACGAGGGACGCCGAGACGTAGCACAAGACCGGTCAATGTGTTTTCGTTCACTCGTCACGAAGAAGTGGCAAAAAGTCCGTCTTGAGATCGCTACCAGGGCAAAACAGCCCTCTGATCGTTGGGTGGTCAACAGATGCAAGTGCCATAAATCAACCACTTGTTTCAATCTTTTTTTGACATAGAATACAAAGAAAAAGCCCAATTCTGCGTACGTTAACATGATAAATGAGAGCCAGTTTGAGTTTTACGAACTCACAGGAAATAATATAATTTAAAAGATTGAAATACAGCACCCAAATTAGGTCATATTACAGTACCGTAACAGAAAAAATATTAACTGTAAAAATATGAAATGAATGAGCGCATACTTTCTCAAACATTCTCCCGCTCCAAAAACGAATGTTTTTATGAACAGCTAAAAGTATAAGTATAAAGAATAGACATGAGAAGCTAGATATACTAAATAAGAACTAAGTAAGAATAAAATATAAACTAACAAATAAGCGGCGGTCATATTTTGACCACAG